TCACCATGTAGCCAAAGGCTGGCCTCACATTGCAGGAGATCCTCCTGACTCAGCCTCCACAATGCTTAGATTATGGACATGTTCATCCATACCTAGAATGGTTCCCATAGTTTCCTTTTGACACTCAGCTACAAAGGTCTAAATTCAGAAATGTGCTTGCGTATGTTATCCCCCTTGTTACTGGTACAAAATAAACCACACTCTCAATTTCAAAAAGAAAAATTTTACTTCGTTTTATAATCCAGTGGGTCAGAATTACAGTGTGGAGGAGAAATAGTTCATTGCGTGGGTGTGGGAAGCAAAGTGAGATTAGAAAAGAACAGAAATCCCAGCACTGATAGGGAAGCTGAAAGCAGGAAGATCACTATGGGTCCAAGTCGTGTAGTGAGACCATGCACAAAAAAAAAAAAAAAAAAAAAAAACTAAAAAAAGGACAGAAGCATATTTCTGTTATCCGTATTAATTTATAACCCATATTGCCTCAAAATATTCACCTAAAGTTTTCAGTCTATTCCTTCATTTGTATTAAAAAGTGATAGCAAATTTCAAAGATAATATAAATAAAATATGAAACTATGTCTATTTTATTTTTTATTGTTTTACCTTTTTATTTTGTAAAAAGCACAAATTAGAATTAAAACAGAAAAAATAGAGATGATGCAAATTTTCACTTAAAAAAGTAATATGAATTTCACAGAATTTGTTGAAATACACTGTTGAATTCCAAACAGTTATTAATATTACCAGATATAGGCATACAAAATTGGAAGCAGAAAGAAAAATAAATGTATAAGAAATTAAGAAGAGGAAAAGTACAAACAGCGCTGCTGAAAATATGGGTACACATACGTTGTTTAGGTATGAAGGTGTCTTAGTTAGTTACTCTTCTGTCATTGCTGGGATAAATACCTGACACCCAAACTGAGGGAAGGAAAGGTTTATTTAGTTCACAGTATTGAAGGTTTCTGTTGGTATTTAGCTGGGTCCAAGGCAGAGCAGCACATAGCAGAAAGCAACTCTTTAGGGTGGAAGCAAAGAGCAAGAGCACAAGGGAGAAGCAGCAGCTCAAGCAGCTAGCTTCTCCTCCCACCTTACATTGTAATGCAAATTACTTGCCCAAGGGCAGGTGCACCATCCACACCCACAGTAATCAATCACAAACTCCAGAAGCTGCCCCAAGCCTGCATGAGGCTTTGGGGGGACAGCTAGACACAAACAATAACATTACACCCTTAAATCACCAAAGATACATGTACATCCCTTTATGCAAAAGACATCCTAGTCCATGTCTAACAGTTGCCAAAGTATCAACAGTTTCAGCATTGCTGAAAAGTCCAAGTCCCAAGTCTCCTCCAAGATCCAAAGCAAACTCAATTGTGAGCCCCTGTATAAATGAAAACTTAAACACTTGCAACATTCAAAAGGACAAAATAAACATTACCATTCCAAAAGGTACACACAGCAAGATACCAAGCACTGGGACCAACACAAGTCCAAAATACAGCAGGGCAAATATTAAAGTCCTGTAGTTCCACGTGGGACATCTGAAGCAATCTGAGATGAGTTGTGAGCTCCAAAGGCCTTACAGGGCTCTGCTCCTAAGGCACTCATGTTAGTAGCTTCCATGGTCTCTCTCTTAGGCCAGCTTTGTTCCCTTCTTGCAGTTTCCCTTAGATGATCCACATTCCTGGCTTTTCTAAACTTCTGGGGTTTCCACTGAATAGGCTTCTCATTCACAGCTTCACACACTGCCCTCTCAGGGGCACACCGCTTGGCCTCCCAGGCCTTCTTCTGAAATCAAGGTGGAAACCTTCTTAATCTCAGAACTCCTGCATTCTGAATGCACCTAAAACTATAGCCACGTGGATGGTGCAAAGGCCTGCTGCCAGCTGGAGCAGTAGCCAGGTATTCTTCTCTCTTGGCTGTAGGGGTCAATTGCCTAAATCGCTGAGGACTTTGACCCTTATTCCGAGAAATAATTTCTCCATGCCAGCGCCATTCTGGAACCTGGTGTGGCCCCGTTGCCAACATTCTGCAACAATGGGATCTGCAGCTTTCTCCTCAAGGCAAAGTCTCTTACCTTTGAAGTTCTGAAGCTGCAAAGAGTGGAGATCTGCCTCCTCCTGTGATGCCCTCAGGCCATCCTTTCCATTCTCAGGTTCTTCCAGGTAATAGAGATCTCTCAGCTCCATCTTTGCAGTCCACAGTTTTCTTGGAGTTTCCTTTCTGGCAAAACTTACAACATTTTGAACCATCCTGCTGGGATCCTTGCTCTTCATTCTCAACATAAATCCAACTAACATCCCCCAGGAACAACCATGCCACTGCCCCAATATTCGGCTGTTTTGAAATGTCCTTTGAAAGATTAATCAGTCCGCCATGCTAAACTCACTCTCAGGCAGTCTCTGGGAATGAGCAACCTGCAGACAACTTTTCTGTCAAGTCGAAACACAAACGATCTGGAGTCCAACAACCAATGCAGTCCTTCTGAGCAGAAACTTCCCCAGCCTGGTCTTTACATGACAGCTTTCCATCAGCCTTCTGAGCTCTGACCAGAATCTTCCAAACAGAACAGCCGAAGCTGTTTCAGCGCTTCATTTGTAGGTGTCATCTCTGAACCTTTCCTCTCTCTTCCCATCAGCCATTCCCAAAAGCTTCTAATCCACATGGTCAGGTTTCGCTATACCAATGTCCCCACTCCTGCGGTACCAAATTCTGTCTTAGTTACACTTCTCACACTGGGACAAATACCCAACATCCAAATTGAATGAAGGAAAGGTTTACTTAGCTCATGGTTACTGGAGGTTTCAATCCATATTCAGCGGGGTCCAATGCAGAGCAGCAAATAGCAGAAAGAAACTTTTCATGGAGGTGGCAGAGAGCAAGAACACAAAGGAGTAGTAGCAGCAGTGGGTAAATGTTTGCTTAAAAAGGAAGGTGGTGGTGAATGAAGGCAGGATACAGGAAAAGGTATGTTGTGGGACTGTCCTACTACACTGCTGCATATGCCTGGCTTTCTAAACTTCTGTGTAAAAACATGTAATTATTTTTATTTTTAATATATTTTTATATTTTTACTTTTTTCTTCATATTCTATAGGGACTTACAGTTTAACATATCAATACTTGATGAAAAATACTTGTTCCATGTCTTGCCTAAGATGTTTAATATTCATACAGATAGTGAGGCTAAGCTCAACTGCCTAGGTTGTAGGGTAATAACAATAAGCTTCTCTTCCGGAGGGTTAACAACCTAAGTTTGCAGACCAAAAATTAGAGAAAAAGGAGAGCTGCAAGCTTAGTCAACATTTTGGCCCTAGCCTTTCAAGGTCAGTGAAAACTCAGGACATAGGAGAACCTGCACTGTAACATCATGTAACTCAGGTGTATCCCAAATTTTCTGATCAAGGAGATTATGGGGCCACAGAGGAAAGTGATTGATGATGTAGAGCGTGCCTAAGGAGAGTCACATGGAGAGAAAACATTCTCTCAGGCTTTCACAGAGAGCAAACTGGTTAAGCAATGGCTGTGACTCATCCACATGGCTGACACTGATAAAAGATCTACAAACTGTGGTGCAGGGTTTCAGGATAAATCCTGAGAGGATTTGACTGACTTTACCACATACAAAGGCTACATTTCTTGTTAATAGGTCTTGCTTTTTCTTGGTCTTAACCATTCAGCAAAATTTTTTTTAAAAATGAAGTATATAAAGTAAAGCCATATTAATATGCTGAGCTGTGAAAGGCTGAAGTCAACAACTTCTGACGTTGCCTGTCTTACGGAAAACCAACTACTATTATGGAGTACTGGACTATATTGGAATATTTTGCTGAATTCATACATCTGTAATATTTAAATGACAATGGAATACCCTTCTCTGATAAAACTAAACAAAAAAAGGGGATGCAAATGAACTACCACTTTATATCTTTATATTCAATATAGTTAGGATAAATATACAGCTACATTCTCTTAATTCAATGAATAGAAAGATTTGTGCTAATAGTGCTTATAAACAGGATATCATGTCTGCATCTTGTACAATGAATAACCACTAAGATAACAATATGTAATGTATTAATTATTTAAACTGTCCTACTAATTAGATTTGAAACTGTCTCATTGCTATTTGTTTCTCAATAAAATTATGGAAAAAAATAGCAGCAAATTTCTTTTCACACCTTACATGGTAGTGCAAATTACTTGCCCCAGGGCAGGTGCAGCATCCACACCCACAGTAATTAATCACAAACTCCAGAAGCTGCCACAAGCCTCCATGCAGCTTGGGGTACAACTATACCCAAACCCAAACCATTACAGAGGTTTTCAGTTCTTCTAGAAAAATACCCAGCAAGGGAGTAGCTGAATTAAATGGGATCTTCAATCCTAGCTTTTTAAGGAATCTGCACTCCGATTTCTATAGTGGTTGTGCTAGTCTACACTGCCACCAACAATGCAGGAGTGTTTCTTTTTCTCCACAGCACCTTCAGCATTTGCTATTGGCTCACTTCTTGATATTAGTCCTTCTTTCTGGGGTGAGATGGAATCTCAGTTTTGTTTTAATTTGCATTACTCAAATGACCAATGATGGTGAATATTTTTTCATATATTTTCTTGCCCTTTGTATATCTTCCTTTGAGAAGTATATATTCATCTCAGATGTCCATTTTGAATTGTCCTTTGAATTTGGGGGACCTCATTTTTTTGGTCTATTTCAATACAAGCAGGGAAATAAGCTATTCTAGTCATAACAGGCTGGGGAGATGGCTCAGTGGAATATGCACTTCCCTGGCAAGTGCAAGGACCTGAGTTCAATCCCCAGTACTCTAGTCATATGCTCCCTCCTCTGAGGAGTAAGAAAAAAAAAGAGCAGGAAGCTGTAAGGGATTTCTAGAGTTGAAACATATGGTCACCTATGAGAGCAGAGATACAACAGTCACATCCAACTGCATTTTGATAGTTATACTTCTCTGTGCATTCCCAGTTCCCACTGTGAATTTAAAGCTTATAGAATTTAAAAAACATGCAGGAAGCACAGTAGGTACAGATGAGGACACTAAGAGATGGTCTTATGTCCTCCAGGACATATGCCAATTCAGCAAAGACCTGTGTTGCTTGATCATGGTGCACAAAACTCCCTCCATCATTAGAATCATAGCACTCCATAGGGGCAGGATACAGCGCTTTGGATAAGTGTCTCAGTGCAGCACTGAGGCGTAGCAGGTCCTGAAGGATGCCTAGGGAAAAGTGGTTCCAGTAACAACTGAAGGTCTTTATCCAAGAGCAGTGCCTCAGGGCAGACAAGATGGCAAGCAGCTGGGAGTCTGTGAGGTCACATTGTTCTAGGACCAGGGTTTCCACGGTGATGGCCAGTTTGTCTATCAGAACATGGAGGGTCTCAGGATTGAATGATTCCACTGAAATACACCTCAGAGTCAGTGACTTGAGCTGGTTTGTGCTTCCCCATTGGGACAGATGTTTCAGGTCAGATTCCTTCAGTGGACTGCAACTCAAGGAAAGCACCTGCAAGGTGGTCTGACTCCTACATAGAGAGAAAAGTTATTTCATATAAATGGTGGAGGGCTGGCCAGATAGCTCATCAGATTAAAGCTCCTGCTTAGGCAGACCCAGGGACCAGGGTTCGATCCCTGGCTTGCCATGGCAGCCCACTCCCCCAAGCACGCTATTCCGGCGCCACCCCTGGGGAGTGCTAAAACAGTGATTGAGACTGGATGTGGTGGCACACATCTGTAATCGCAAGGCTTGGGAGGCTAAAAATAGGAAGGATCACTATGAGTCTAATCTGTGTAGTGAGATCCTATAGACCTTGTACTAAATACACTAAAAATATATTTAAATGGTGGAGATGGTTGGTGCAAAACTGGTTTATCCCAAACATTTCCCTCAACATTTGATGGTCACCAGAATGTGTGTGTTGAAGGTCCTGATCCTTCAGATCTCCTTCAGTAATGTGATTGTCTCAGTCCGCATGTTCAGCAGCCTCCTGTGCTCAACACCAAGTAGAAAACCACAGTTCTGGCCAGATGAAGGCAGTGGGTGATCTGTAGGATGATTGAATCAGACATGTTTGGCCGATGGATTGGAGGTTGCCTTGTGTCCTCTGCAAAGGCTGTCTCTATTTCCATACTTACATTCCTTGTCTTTGCCCCCAGCTTGAGACTCATCCTCTTCCCATCTGCTCATAGCTCTTTCCTGGGCCCTGTTATAGCTTTGATCTCACTGGCTCTTGAAAGCCTTATTAGTGCAGTGATGGATTTTTGGATAAGTTTCTAGGTCACATGTATGATGACTGCATCAGTTCAATGGCTGGCTTTGCATTGCTTTAAGGTATGGAACTAATGAACAGGGAAGCATCAGCCTGGGTAGTGGTGGTACCAGGAAATAGCCTTGTACCCTCAATGGGAAGCTGGAATGCAACTTGCTGTTTTCTCACCCACACCACACCACACACAATTAAATGTTTCCATACCTAGAATTCACTGACTCTGAACTGAGTCTTGTATAAACTTTCCACTAAAACATAGCTTCCCTGCCTAAATGATCACTGTTCAGTGTTTTATCTTGGGAATGAGAAATGCAGACAGTCCCCAAGTTGCCTTGTCCAAAACAGGACATAGACAGCGACCTGCCCTAATAACACCTGCCAAGAACACTCACCTGTTCAGTGAGCAGGTATGTAGCCTGAGTCACATTTAATGCTCTCACTTCACGCTTCCCAGCTCGTTACTTAGACCTACTTCCTAAGGGAGAAATACAAACCAACCCCATTTTATCCATTCTCCCACTTGTGACTTTTTAGACAATGGGCCAGTGCCAGACCTCCTGTCTCCATTTTATTCCTGATTTTACATGGGTGGTAATGGAAGACAATGACACATTCCTTTAAATATTGTATTTACTACTTCCTACCATCTTGCCCCAGGCCAACAGATTGACACAGAGAAACCCAACTAATATGTATGATAACCACGAAGAAACTCACCAAGAACTCACCTTAACCACTTATGCAGAGTACCATTCAAGAAAAAGACTTCATCCATAACAATCTCCTGGAGATTTTGCAGCTGTCCTAAGTGAAAAGCACAGATGTGAGAATACCAGTTGTTTTTCTCAAATGAATTGAACATTTCTGGACTCTCACATAGCAAGTGAAGTGTGTGAAGGTTTTTCATCTTCTTGACGTGAAGAACAAACGCTTTCATGCTGTCCCAACCCCAGTTACTGAGTACATGGAGCTTATGGATGGAGTCCAGTTGTACAGCTCGCAGATGCTTTAGGATTATGAAGACGTCACTGAAATGGATCCGGACCTTTTCACAGCACAGGTGTACTGAAGCTTTTCTCTCCCTGACCCACTTCAAGAGGCAGAGTTGTACTTTGTCTTGTGTGGCACAAGATGAACTCCAGCGTTTAAAGCGAAGGTTTGCAAATATTATCAAGTGTGGCTGTTTGTCAGTCCCCCCAGGTTTGCCATGGCTCTCATAACTGACAGCTGATGAATGAGCAGCTTTCATGGCCCTAGGCCCTCCAGTCCAGAAGTCCTGGTGTACATTCCTCCAATCCAGCTCCTGCAGTTTCCACCTTCTGCTGGAAAAACAGGAATGAGCCTTAGCATTAAGATGGACCTCAATTCCTAATTGGGTTTCTCTTCCAGTTTATGGGCATCAGGTGTGGCCCCTCGTTTCCTGCTTTAGTTTGCTATCCTTTCAACTTTTATCTGGACCTTGGTTTCACTTGCGGTCCTGTCAGAGCAGGAATTTGCAGGTTCTTTAGAGTTCGCCACATCCTGCACATGCAGTCTTATCATCAGGAAAAACCCTTCCCAGGTGGTGCTCAGCCATAGAGAATTATGTGATCCACCTCAAAATTACATGTTGTTCTACACTTGTCTCCATTTATTACTTTTTCCATATTTAGGACAGGGTCTACAGAGTCTACAGGGTCTCACTATGTAGACTGGACTCATAGTGATTCTACTGTTTTCAGCCTCCCAAATCCTGGGATGACAGGTGTGCACTACCATGCCCAGTCTCAGTCACCATCTCAGCACGTTCAGGAGCAGGGCCAGCTCAGCACACTGGGGATCAAACCCTGGCTGCTGCACTCTGCCTTAGCAGGCACTTTAGTCTGTCCCTTTATTCTTGATACTAACTCTCCCTACACTGAATTATCTTGCCCTCCTTTCAGTATTTGTGTTTCGCCCTCACCTGTGGTGAACCTTCTGGGAGAGCTGCATATCAAGTCCCTCCAGTAGAGCTTCCAATGTCCTTCGGTTTCTTTGCTTTGCTGTGATTTTTTCAAAAGGACTGTGTGGGGACTTTTGTGTCCTCAAATGCATCAGCGCCCTCAAAGGGAGATAGAAGAATGGCCAGTCCTGGATCATTACCTTCAGGACCTCATTGTGTTCCCCCAATGAAGGCATCCTTGAATAAGTCGCAGAACATTAGGGTGGGCAGGTCATTCAGAGCAGTGTTGGATCTTGTCACACTCTTCAACAGATTGTGCTTGACCAGCTCATATAGAAGCTGTGGGTTATGCATCCTCATTCTGAGATATCTGCAAGGTGAAAGACATTGGGTAACAGTGGAAAAGGCATCTGTTCATGTCAAAAGCAGAGAACCCTTACAACCCATGAAGACCAATTCAGGGCCAAGGCCACTGGTCTGGCTATGGTGAACCTTCCTTATTTACTCAAATTTTTCTTACTTGGGTGACCGTAAAACCATGTGTCTGCAACTATTAGCAACATTACTCCACTACCTTACCCATTTCAAAACCCTAGTTCTTTGTATTCCAGACCTTCTATAAAGTGGTTTAGTAGTGTTGTGAAATCACAGCTCATTCTTGTTTGGAAAGCTTCTGATCATTGGAACAAGATGGTAGAATAGCAATAGAAATGTCTTAGGGCACAATGATCTTACCATCTCCATTCCAACTATCACACTGGTCAGGAGATATTAGGGAAACTCTGAAAACTGGATCTCATTATTTTCATTTAAGAAGAGTAAAAACAATTACAATGTGACAATGTTATAGAGGTATGGGAAATAGAGATGGAAAATGATAACTCTAATACAAGTTGTTAAACATCTCCCACAACAATGTATCACTTTGTGACAGTATAGGTTTAAAAAAATGGATATAAACAAAATCACCAAATGTAAAACTAGTGCAGACAATCATACACAGAAGAACACATCTATAATCCTATCACTCTGGAAGGCCAAAGCAAGAATATTCCAAGTGCATGCTCAGCCTAATCAATTTAGTGACTTAGCAACAATGCTTCAGTATACATTTTAATTAAATAAAAATAGGTTTCTAGAAGGCAGGCAATTAAAGGCTTTAATTGAAATCCTTATAACACATGGGCCAGCCAGATAGCTCAGTGGATTAAAGTGCCTGCTTAGGCAGACTCAGGGACCAGGGCTTGATCCCTGGTGTGCTGTGCTGGCCCCATCCCTAGGGCATGCTGAGACAGCCATTGAGACTGGGTGTGGTGACGCATGCCTGTAATCATTGCTTGGGAGGCTTAAAACAGGAAGATCACTATGAGTTCGAACTGTTTAGTGAGACCTTGTAGACCCTGTATTAAATACATAAAAAAAGAAATCCTTGTAATACAAGTAATTAACACAAAAATAGCCAGAGGTAGTGTAGTATGTCTTTAATCCCAGTATGTTTCAAGATGAGGTAAAAGGATGTCTCCAAGTTCAAGTGTAGTCTGGCCTACATAGTGAGTTCAAAGTCAGTCTAATCTACTTCATTATAACCTGTTTTATACAACAAGAACAAATATATATATCATGTAAAATATCATATAGATGGCTCTTAAAAATTTATTTGCATGAGATGGCCTAATAACTCAGCAGACTAAAGCATCTACTTAGGTAGAGTACAGTGGCCAGGGTTCAATCCCTGGCATACCATTCCCCAGGTACTCTGTGATGGTGATTGAGACTGGGCATGGTAGCGCGCGCCTGTAATCTCAGCCATTAGAAGGCTGAAAACAGGAGAATCATGAGTCCAATTCACACAGTGAGAGCCTTTAGACCCTGTAGACTGTGCCCTAAAATAAAGAAAGAAATATATATTTGCAGGGCACAGAGTTGATTATGGCTTTTGTACAACATCACAGCTTTAAGTCTTATTTTTCATTTTCCTTTCTCTTTTATTTTGAGATAGGAGCTCACTGTTTCCTAAGATACTGTAGACTTTACAATTCTGATAGAGCCAAATCACTAAGTGACACCTGAGTCATAGGTAAATACACCTGCATATATGGAATTTTATTCAGCTCCATTTTAAATTTGTTTATTTATGTTTATTTAGATATATTCATGTATGTAATTCAGTTAACTCCTGAAATTATTAATCTCAAGGTAGACTCAAACTCAGTGATCTTACTGCCTCAACTTATATGATGCTGAGAATACAGGTGTGTCCCACAGTCCCTAGGGTTTCTTGTCAATCCTTGTGTTAGTGGGGATTGAGCTAATCCCAGCCATTGACAGTTAAGAACCCTTCCTAAAATCATAAATCATTATTGTGCACCTAGCTTTTGTTTTTTGCACCTTTTTGTTTTGATTTATTTTAGACAGGGCCTCACCATGTTATTTATTTACTTATCCATTCACTCATTCATTCATTCATTCATTCATTTGTGTATTTGGTCCAACATCTCACTATGCATCTTGGACTTGTAGTGATTCTCCTGTTTCAGCCTCCTCGGGATTACAGGATTACAGGCATCAACCACCACACCCAGATTCATCATGGCTCAGCACAACTTGGGGTCCAGTGCAACATGCAGGACTAGGGATCCAACCCTGGTATCTACACTTGCCAAAAGCAGGTGCTTAGTCTGCTGATTTATCTCACTGGCCCATTACCATGTAATTCAGATGAGATTTGAATTTATTATATAGTCCAAGATGGTCTCAAACTCATATATATCTTGCTGCTTCAGATTCCTGAGTGCTAGAATTAAAGTTGAGTGCTCCCTGGTTAGGCTGAACTACAAATCAGAAAGCATAAAGCAAGTAAATTAATGTCATTTCACATGTCTGCAATCCTGGGAAGCAAAATCCCCCAATGCTAATTCAATAACACAGGGGATAATTCAGTGATTGAGAAACAGCTTACCTTAAAGAATTTGTGAGGTAATTCAGTAGTAGATGGAAGAAAGTAAGAAGTGAAAGAGGAGAAAGATAAAGGATGGAAGGTGGAAAGAGGGAAGGAAAAACGAAGAGAGGGGGAGGGAAGGAAATCACTTCTGACTGGTTGACATGATATAAGTCTCTAGTGCCTTCACATGGTGTACTGAGAAAGCAGCTTGGAGATTTCAAAATTATATCAGCTAAGTTAGGAGGCACTGTCTCAAAGAGCAAATACAGGGTGTTGGAGATATTATTCCTGTCAGAGAGCACCCATGCCTCAAGTCCTTTATACTCAAAGAAAATACAAGTTTATTTGCTGTGATAAACCCAGACTTGCTGGCATTCCAGTCAGGAATAAAACACCATTCCAGGGCTGTTTTTGAAACAATATTAGAACCTTGAGTGATGGAACACATCTGTGATCCCTGAAATCAGGAAGAAAAGTCTAGCCTTGGGTACATGGTGAGAAATTTCAAGATGATTAAGTAAAGGGCAATCCCAGCACTCCAGAACAACAAGAACAAAACTGGAAGATGAGATAGAGGAAAATGGAAGATATGCACCTAAATTTTTAAAATGATAGTAACTGAAGTAAACAGACCAATCAATGGAGCTAGAAAGGAAATCAGATCAAAATTAAGATTCAAGGCCAGTGAGACACTCAGTGGACTAACATCCTGCTTATGCAAGTACAGGATCTGCAGTTCAATACTCAGCACCATTTGTCATATAAACCCCTGTCCCCAGGCATACTGAGTTATCCTCAAGGCCTGGGCATGTTGGTCTAAGACAGGAATCCCAGTGCTGGGAAGCCTGAAAACAGGAGAATCACTATGAGTCCAAGCTGCGCAGTGAGGCCCTGTACCAAATATATTTTGTAAAACAAATTTTAAGATTCAGATTAATAACAGAGATGTCAACATTTATAAATGAAATACTTTGGAAATCTAGAGTAGAGATAGAAAATTTTCAAGAAAGATGATAAGATAATGGTAACTGTGAATGGACAATATAGGAAGTAAATAGGATGCATGCAATAAGTTCAAAAAGACATACCTAAATTAAATAGTCATTGAAATCTGACAAGACTGATGGAATCAAACTGAGAACAGGCTTTCAAACCTTGAAGCTAAGATCATGGTTAACGATTGTGAAAGGAAAGATTTGTTAACAAAATGTTCAGGAAATAAAAATTTATCCCTTCAACCAATGCAAAGAATAATACTGTACGAAAAATTGGTGCCAATGAAGTCCAAGAGTCAAAACCAATGGCAAAAAATAACAGCCGAAGCAACAGCAGAAAATTGCTTAGCATGGGAATTGAAGCTGTAATATGGAAAAAGTGAGGCATTTAGAATGTCAATTAGCTATAACCAAAATAAAGCAACATGCAAGAATATTAGAATCAAGATCGAAGACATTAACATAGAAAGAAATTAAAAATTGTTAGAGAAAAGTAAGAAATTTGCAATAGAAGAAAACCTATCAGAATCATGTCAGACTTCTCAACATAAACCATCAAGAAAATTTCGGAGTGAAATATTTTATGTAGTGAAAGTAAACAACTTTCAACCCAGATTCATATAACCTGTAAAACATCTTTTTTCAAATAAATGGAGAAATAAGATGATTCCATGATGAAGAACATCTGAAGAAATGTATGATACCAACAAATGCTACATAGTCTAGCAAATGATATTTCAGAAAGAGGTAAAAATGGTCATAATCCCAAGAATGACAACACAGAGAGAGACCAACAGGAAAGGCAAATAGTTAAACAGAGGGGGAGAAGCTGGGAACAAACAACAAAAAGCTATCAAGGCAAAGATAAGCAATAAATGCCATTTGCAGCCAGGAATAGAAATGGTCTCTACTCACCAATCAAAAGAAACAGAATGACAGAATGAGTCAAGAAATAAGATCCAGCCCCCTAAGGTGCGTTGAGTCAGCTTCTGGGTATGTTGGCATACGCCTGTAATCCCAGCACTGGGGAGGCTGAAAACAGGAGGAACACTATGAGTCTTAGCTGCATAGTGAGATCCTGTACCAAATGCTTTAAAACAAAGAAAAAGGGAAAAAAGAGAAAGAAAAAGATCCAACAATATTCTGCATAGAAGAAATGTATTTAACTCAGAAGGAAATTCATAGATTGAAAATCAAAAGATGGAAAATAATCCTCCACGAGA